CAGCCAGCCATCAGGTGGCTGCCAGCACGCGGAAAAAGGGGTGGAAAGCTCGGCCGTGGAAACGCTAGGGGTTTGCCGTCACCCTGTGCTGTCCTACCAGAGTCGGAGTTGGCCCTTTTCGTACAACGCTACGACCGTCGCCTCGACGCCGAACAAAAAAGTCTTACACCCAATTACGCGCGGCATTTAACTAAATAAACACTCGCCATCTTCCTCTTTCAGTTCCCTCCGCGACCGAGCTCGACGTCTGCGGCTGCTATGCTCAACCTCTGTCCGTTTTTTCCACTCTTCGTTTCTCACCATGTTTTTCTCTTTTTCTCGTTACTCCTATGTTCCTGCGGACCTTAATGAAGTCCCGTTTTAATATACTTTGCCCCACGCCTTCGTTTTTCTTTTTTCTTCTTTTCTTTCTTTTGTCAGAAACGACTGTCTGCCCGTGGAACGTCATAGAAATTTCGTTGTTGTTCTCGTTCGCTGAAATCCTCTCCGGTATCTTTAATCATTCTCGTCGCGGTCTCCAAATGAAACAGGATACTTCCCTATGATCACTTGTTGAACGTTATGGAGATCCCTCCCTTCCATTTGCAACCTACCGGGATTACGCGTTTCTGTTATCGGTTTCGTCCCGTGCACCGTGAAACTGAGCTTTAACGTTCGGCCGCGATTGCTTGAAACTTGTTGAAACTCCTGGACCTTGGATTTCGATGTAGATAGATATTTCACTACCATTGCTTTCTTAGTTGCACGCGAGTCTCTCGGAAATTAGACTGGTCAGTGTCGTTTTCTATCGATTTCTCGATCTCATTGCTCGAGCAAGTGTGTAGGGCCATTGATATTCAATTTAAAAAAAAAACAGGTGATTCGTTCTTGTATATGATTAAATGTTAATTGAATTTTGTTCCACTCGAACTAAATGGATCGTACGTAATTCGATAAAATAATGTAAAAAAAAAGTGTTGTGCATTTATTATTTCCACTTAAAACGAAAGAAACTTTTGGAACAGCCGGAATATATTAAAAACTGACAGTGTCTGTATAGTAATTATTCTGGGCAAATTTTACGATTGAATCGTAAAATATTAACGTACAGTCAACTCAGACAACTTGTTCTTAATTTACCTTTCATTTCGAGCCACAAAATCCAGCTTCGATTTTACCGTAACATTTAGGTCGCGGCGTTGTATTTTAACGAAAGTCTAGGCCAGCGTGTCTTCTCTCCTGAGAGACGTACTAACGATATCTAGATCGTTTGACGTTCCTCTCGCAAGCTCTCCATCAATCGCGTTCCGTGGAGGGCGGCAGAGGAGCCAAAAGTACGGCGAGCATAATCAATCACGAGACGTTTTCGGCCTGGATACGCGGGCTGGAGGGCTGTAGACAGTTCGCATAGTTCCGAAACGGAAACGGTAATATCGCTGGCCCGGGGCGACCACCCCTTTGTCATTTTGTCATCCGGCGTAAGGACGAATCGGCCATGGAGGGAACAGGAGAGACAGAGCAGAGACGCGAGAAGACAAAGCAAGACGGCCAGTGTGTTTTCCACGAAAAGAAATTAATGCTTGAGATATTAAAACGCGTCCGAAAGGAAACGCCTGTCGTCCAGAGTTTGCCACGTCGACCGCGTTCTGCTATGCTATCAGCAGCAGACGCTCGTCCTTTCGGTTATCCATCGCTGGACACGGATCTTTCCTTTCGCTCTTTAAGAATCTATCCCTGTTGTCTTCGGCAGCAGGTCGAGATCGCACCACGAATTTACTTACTTAGTCGCTCCACCGGAGAATCAGCCGATTCGCTTACCTTCGAATCCTTGTTCTCGTCGTCGACAATGGAAACTTTCGATTGCTCCGTGTTCTCCGAGAATCCGGGGCTCACGCTCGATCTCCTCAAGTACGTGTTCCCGTGTTCGTTCTTTTGAGCTTCGACTGGTACGTGGATCGGCAGGATGACGGCCAAGATGACGTAAATTAAGAGCCACGGTCGACGACGATTATCCAGCGGGCAAACCGTGAACACGATCGTCCTCATTGTTCTACCTGCGATTAGATGTACAATGTAGAATTTCGTTCGCGTTAAAGTCACACGCGTCTCATTGCAATGTTAATTTCTCAAAATGTTTCATATAAAACGTACAAAACGCTTTTACAAGCCACTCTAACAAAGTATGAGATATCCAAAGTATAATAATCGTAATTAACCGCGATAATTGACCGAGAGTTAACAGTTTTGCCTCGCTTCCAGTTTGCATTCTATCGTAGTTTGTTCTCGTTTCGCGGATATAATTCAATTTCGTCAGAATCGGCGGGCCGACGCTTAACGAATTCGTGCACGCGTACGACAGACTGGAAGTGCATAACGGCCTATTAAGAGCCGATCCGAGAAAGTCGTTAATTCCACGGTGCACATAACTTTGCTGTCACAATTTGCATTTCGGCCGTTCTTTCTTTAGGCACACGGGGGAAATTAAAAACGTCGGATCGTAAAGCCTCGAAAAGAAGTAAAATATCACCGGTCCCGCGCTGGCTGAATCGTAATCAACCGACTTTTCGCTTAAGAGAAAAACGCCAGTTCGTTGCGTTCGACTTTTCGGCTGGCGGTTGAAAAGCTCGTGGCAAAGCTTTGGAAAGCAGGACAGAGGTTCGATAAGGGAAACGTAGAGGAAGGTTTCGGGCCGTATCGTTTGGCCAGAACGCTTGCTTTCAATCCTGGAATTAATATCCAACAGGGTCGCAGTTAATTTTACAAGGATAATTTCCAGAGAGTCTGACGGAAAGTCGTTGCCATTCGAGTTGGGTGGTTACTAAATTAACGTTGTATGGAGGCTGGCCGAGGTACGTGCGAGGAAAGGCCGGCCACGCCGCAAAATGTGAGACAAGACAAAGGAAAATAGGGCAAGTAATTAGAAACGAACGAAGCTATTTCACAGCGAAGAGGGCTGTACAGTTATTCGGACCAGAAGATTTTCAATGGGAATAATTCTGGCGATGCTTCCTCCCCATTTTGCATCACTGAATTTCACCACCGGACTGGATATCGCCAATCTGTCGCTTTCAATATTCGAATCGCGAAATCTCTCTCTTTAATATTTCCGCTATGACATTAGCCATTCGTTACGTTTCATCTTCCGCGGACTAAATTGACACCTTTTATCAATTACGTTTTACGAAATTAAAAACGAAAATTCCTTTGACCTTACGGCTACATTTTCATAAATCGTACAGATTCCGACAGATGATAAAGCTACATATGGTAAATGCAGGTAGTATATTTCTTATTTTTTTCGCTGTTACATTAACGATATCTCGTGATATACTAGTCTGACCATTGTACGTAAAGTTGAAGATCTCTACATCTCAAACTCGATTGAAACCCCTGAAATCGCTGGTTGACGATGGTCGTGTTTCGCGAAATTCTCGTCTCGTCTGTCGACGATAATTCTACGTGGAAAAGGGTTAAAAAATCTCCGTAAGACGAGTGTAAATCGTAACGATCGATTTAAACGTTTCGATGACGCGGTTCGTAGTCTCTTGGGGCTAATTAGAGGAAGAGATTCGGTGGCTTCGTCCCCCTGTTATCAGCGCGAAAACAGGGAGCACGGTGAATTTCCTGCCGATGAAAACGCAAAGAATGAAGAGTTAAGCGATCGTTTCTTTCTCGGCCGATCGTTCGAACGAGAATAAAGAGGGAGTCGGAACCGTAAAAGATTTTTGTTCGGTTCGAGGAAAGCTACTCCTCTCTTTACTGTCTCTCCCTTTCTCTCAATCTTCTCCCGTTCCACGTCCACACGTTCCTTCCACCCTTTTTTGCTCAGACAAAAGTTTTGCATGCCGCGAGCAAGTAAGCAAGCGGGCAAGTCGCAGGATCGAGAAAGGGCCGGATATTTTTGTCGTTTCAACGAAAAAAATCGCAAATAAAAGAGCGAAGGCACCAAAAAGGAAAAGAAAAAAAACGAAAAAGAAAGAAGCTGCAAAGGGAGGTGTACCAGGGGGCTGTTCAGCGGATAGAGAAGGGATGCCATCCGACATAATGTACCGCGTAAGAGCCATTAGGTTATTAAAAACAGTGCTGGCTAAACACGAGTAACAAACCGGCTGGTGGCCACCGAGGGATGCGACAAAGGCGAAAAATTAGCCTTGATAACTTGCCGTTTCGATGCAAAGCAAAGAAGAAGCTACGGTTTGGTAGGCTCTCTGATTCGCAGGCGGGTAGAAAAGATCAGCAGAATCAGAGAACAAGGAGTAATCTCGACTACCTTGGCCGTACGTTCATGGCGAGAATTGATTCTCCCGTAAAATGCTTTCGCTTTCATTTCGCCAGGTTTGTTCGTCATTCGCACTCTCTCTCTCTCTCTCTCTCTCTCTCTCTCTCTCTCTCTCTCTCTCTCTCTCTCTCTCTCTCTCTCTCTCTCTCTCTCTCTCTCTCTCTCTCTCTCTCTCTCTCTCTCTCTCTCTCTCTCTCTCTCTCTCTCTCTCTCTCTCTCTCTCTCTCTCTCTCTCTCTCTCTCTCTCTCTCTCTCTCTCTCTCTCTCTCTCTCTCTCTCTCTCTCTCTCTCTCTCTCTCTCTCTCTCTCTCTCTCTCTCTCTCTCTCTCTCTCTCTCTCTCTCTCTCTCTCTCTCTCTCTCTCTCTCTCTCTCTCTCTCTCTCTCTCTCTCTCTCTCTCTCTCTCTCTCTCTCTCTCTCTCTCTCTCTCTCTCTCTCTCTCTCTCTCTCTCTCTCTCTCTCTCTCTCTCTCTCTCTCTCTCTCTCTCTCTCTCTCTCTCTCTCTCTCTCTCTCTCTCTCTCTCTCTCTCTCTCTCTCTCTCATTCTCTTTCTCTCTCTGTCTCTATTTGCCAAGATCTCGTTTACGAGAGCAGTCGCGCCAGGTTTAAGGAGTTGTTTCCAGTTGCGACTATTAATTTCGGCTCACGAATGTTACGCGTCTTAATTAGAAAACGAAATTTTGTAATTCTATTGGTAGAGCGAGAATGTCGGATCATAGTCGGAGAGGTAGAGATAGTCGAAGATTTTGCCGATAACAATACGATTACCTGGTGCTGCTTTTATCGCTAGGATCTTCGAACGAGCAACCTCGTTCCGAAATACGTAGAAACGCGTACGTCATCGGTGATAATGTTGGCGGGATCGATTTACGTCACGATGTGCCAGACAAATCATGTACGTTGACGTTTCGCATAACAAATTCCAGTTGCACGCCGACTGTTTCGCCTCGAGCAATCGATACTTCGTTTCTATCGTACTTCGATTCTTGCGCTCGCTGCTCTTCGGTTTATCAATGCGCGAAAGCGTGTCAACGTTAACGCCACAGCTCATAAATAGATGGCGGATATTTATGCGTTGCTTTTGTGAAGATAATTTAAAAAAAGGATGGAACCTTGATAGAGAATTGTTTTTCCTACAAAATTGTATAACGTGTACCATACTTTGCATATCTTTCATGAGTTTTCGCCGTTGAAACTAGCAAGTATTGCTTTTGGACATTGCTTTATTATTATTAATGGATGATTTTTAGTAATATCGAAGGTAAATCTTTGCAAGAACGTTGCCGGCTTGCAATTTATTCCAGTGGCGAGAAATACGTTGAAGCGTACTGCGCGCTCACGATCCAACGAATAATGACTGGTTGAAATTCAGTTTATTTCAGCATATGGACGTAAACGAAACTTCTTACGAGTTAGAATGGGAAGAACGAGGAGCAAGCGAGATGGTAGCGAACGAAGTTAGTCGAGAATTTCGTTACGAGGCTCGCAGCCCTCGCGAGCAAATATTCAAACCCAAGGCGCCTACTATAAACGCATAAAATAGCGTATAAGTCTCTATATTAGTTTCCCCGTACGCCATAGATGAACGAGTATATAACGAAATGTACACATTTTAAGCAATTTACTGGAGGTCGTATTTAACGCTTGGACTTAGCCAAATCGTTCGAAACACGTTCCGCCGATTTTCTTTCCTACGACTATTCTCATCTCTCGAGTCATACGAAAGTATTTGAACAATTACAGAAACTTTTCGTAAGCGCATTTATCGATATGACCACGATGCTTGTGTCTCGTTACGGTGCTAATGAAATCTCAACGTATCTCTTGTATTAGGTTGTCCGAAAAGCTTCTTTCATTTTACGAGGAAATAATAGACGCACAACGGTTTTTCTTTTATATTATTTTTAGATCATTTTGTTCTGTTATTGAGATAAACACCGCGACATTTCACGTTTGCATAAAGGTGCACTGTTGTAAAAAAACACGTTTGCGAGAGAAAGACACTTTTCAGACAACCTAACATCAGACATACGATATATCCACGAGAATTTTCTATAGTTACATACACATTAAAGAATTACTGTAAATTCCATTACGTAGGAACGTATAAAAGCAATTCGAAAGATTGCATTATTATCGCATGATTGTTTTTGGAAAGGCTAGTGATCGGGACATTTAGCGTTTCATCAACCCGTTCCAACTCATTTCTGCGCTTCGTTTCCGAACAAACGGGCATCGTACCGGTATTTTTGAGGAAGAAAAGTCAGAATGATGATGCCGAGCGGAATGATCACGCGATCTCTCTCTCTCTCTCTCTCTCTCTCTCCGGTCCCGTCTTTTCCGCTCTGATTGATTGCGTATACACGCGTGGCGGCTCGCTTTTGCTCAGGTTAACGCAAATGCAAAGGGAACAAACAAACGGGGAATACAAATCTAGAGTGAAATGAACAATGCCTGGGAGAGTTACTGCCTCCTAATTGAAACCAACCCCCGGTACACCCTTCGTTTCCTCTTTCCCCATTCCCTTTCTCTCTTTCGCCCGGATACACGCTGTCCCGTTTCCTCGTGTTCTATGTCGTTCTAATCCTCCTTTTCTCTCTCGTGCACATTCCTGTTTCTCCTGCCCTCTTTCCACCTCTCTCTCTCTCTCTCTCTCTCTCTCTCTCTTTTACCGTGCACCGCCTAATCGTCTCGTACAGATGCGTGCCGCGCTTTCTCTCTATCCGAGCATAAAGCGTATAGTTTACGACAAAAGTTCGGGCTCGAGTTTAACAAAACGACCGTTGGCCCGTTGGAAAACGCGAGCCGGTGTTTACATGCGTGGAATGAACAAGTATCGATCTACCGTTCTATAGATGCACGAAGGTGCACTGCGCACCAAACAAAGAAATCAAAGTAACGCATTATTTCCTGGCATTTCCGGCATAAATGCGTCGTCTACCGTGCGTTCGGACAAAAAACGAATCCACCCACGTTCGTAAGCTGCATCCTGTGCCTTTCGATCGTCATCGCGTCGCTCACGTCGAACATCATCGATAACGTTCGCCTCGTTATCTGCCTTGACAAAGAGTATCATCCTCGGCTCCGTCCCCTTTTCATCACTTCGATCGTCCTCGAAACCATTTTGTCAATAATACGTTACCCAGTAAACTGCAGACTTATCCGCCGTGATTCCATTTCTCGGAGCCATTTATACGCGAACTCGGTCACGACCCGCTCTACAGTTACTCGATGCCCGGTGCTTCCGGTTCGATTAACGAAGAAAATAGCACTCGAACGGACGAATTCGTTGTTTCCGCGGGACCGTTGCCAAAATAACTTCTACGCCGGCATAATCGACGCATCTTACCGGCTTGCTCGCCGTGCTCTTTCCACGATGGCGGCTAAAACCGGTGGGAAACGGCGCGGGGGAAGGGTGGAAGAAATTCGCCGGGAAAAAAAAAACGATGCTCTTTATAGACAAAGTTTCGTCCTGCATTCGTACAGGGTCCGCGTAATATTATAAATAATTCCGCGACGGAGAGCTTGGCTAACTCAGCCGGTAGAGGGGATAGCGTAATAGAAGAAAAAGAAGGGAAAGGAAAAGAAGAAGATGAAGAAGGAGGAGGAAGAGTAAAAATGGGGGGTGTTCACAAGGTTTTATCCAAGCGTAGTTTACAGTGGATATTACAGCGAGGTGCTCGTGCGGCCGAGCAGTAAACAATTCGAGGCATTTTAATGCAGCCCCCAGTGGGCCGTAAGGAGGACTCGAAACTAACGTACCTTATGCAGCCCTTCGCGGAGCTCTTCTTTCGAAACGAAGGAAAGCGCGAATGAAAGAAGAGGCGAAGGAAGAGAGGCCTTATCCCTTAAGGCGTTCGTACGACCATCGAAAAGGCATACTATAAGGCGACTTCGATCTCGAACAGCCGGGTAAGCCTACTCTCGTTTCTTTATCCCCGGTCTCTTCGTCCGCAGCTCGTTCCGTTCTATGCTGCTTCTCGTGTGTTTCGCTCTCGCGCCGCCAACGTCAAATCGAAATCCTCCACAGATTTGCGGCCACCACATGGTCACACGCGTCGTACCAGCATTTTATTGTGTAATTTCTGATAACGTTCGATAGGGAATTATATACGCTCCTTGTTCGTAAGTATTAGGATATTTATTATTAAGCTTAGAATATCATCAGGATATTACGACAGAGATCTTTGTGAATTATTTAATTAATTATATTAAATTTGTTAGACTAATCTTTCATAAGCGAACTTTCTGTAGAACCAAAATGTCTTACGAATCGAGATACATGTCCGAAATATTGTCAATCGAGGGTATGGTGTAAAGAAATGTAAAAAGTGTAGTAACTGGTAAAAATCAATTTACATAAGTTTTGCGTAAACGAATAGACACGAAAATGTAGGAGAGCAACTTTTCACGCTTCGAAGCTCGATCGATTTGAAACATAGTCTTTTACGTAATGTTCTTTGAAAGGTGGCTTTTAACCAAATGGATAATAACATGTATCAATGTCAGGGTTGTTAAT